GCTTATAAAAATCCAGGATAATGCACATTTGTTTTTCTATGCAACTTTCCCTATTCATAAAATTTTTATATTCAGCTTCCCCCAACTATATCCCCTTTATGTTTATTAGAGCCTTTATGGTGTAGGAAATAACCAGGCTAAGTCCAAGGGAGGGGTCAAATGCATCATCAGTCATGAGTCCCTTCATGCCTACAAGAGATCTAAGTCAAGCCCATCTTGAATCCTTTGAGGCTTATCTACCACCAATTTGCTTTGACCATTAATAGTTCAGATTCTTCTAGAGAGTAGAAGTTTGCAATACATCTTTATACTCATTTGAACTGCCTGGATCTTCTGGTTTTTCTGGAGCTTGACATTTTGTTCTCTACTATCTGTGCTTATAACTGAAGCCTTGGGATCAGATTGAAAACATAACTATACATAATCTTGTACAGTCTATTTAAATTATCAACAGTCAATATAAGTCAGCAACCAGGAGACAGTGAGTTCTAGTCCTGTCTTACTGTAGACTTGATAGGCAGCTGGATGACGTTGGGCCAGTCACTGTCGTTCAGTCCAACCCACCTCATAGGGTGGTTGTTCTGATGGAAATAGGACAAGGAAGGAGTATTATGTATATTTGCTGCCTTGAGTTGTTTATAAAAAATTATAAAGGCATGTTGAGGAACATAGCAGGGTGGAGACTTCAAAAGTAGCCACCATCCTTGCATTGCTGCAAGAGATCCAGAACTGACCTCTCCCTCTTGTAAATGCCATCCATCCATCCATCATTATTATGGTCACAGTCCAGCAAATGCAAGCATTAAAACAATAATAGTATACAAATAAAAGACAGACAGAATGATATATTGTAATTAGTGGTAAATTAACAGTGGGCAGTTAAAGTTTGCCTAATTTTACATACAGCATAGGAGAATTTGGCCACATTCAGAGAAGCTACTTCAAACTGATCTAATATCAGTAGTTATACATAAAAGATCAGTATTTCCCAGATATTTTATTTGGTAAGGTGTTATAAATTGAGTGCGTGAGTTCTTATAGAAGATTTAGTACAGCAGGACATAAGCTACAATTTCAATGGCCCCTGTGCCTTGTCCACAGGGCCACAATCTCAGTGCATATAGCATTCTTTTGTATCGGCCCTCCAAAGCTGCTGTGGGAAGTGTATTGCAGTGCACTAAAGTTAATGCCCTTCAAATTTTTGGGATGGTTATTTAATATAAATATCTCACTGCTTTAAAGGGGGGAGTTGTGACTGCTCAAAAAAGCATTCTCTGGAGGAGCCCAAAATTTTTGGATTTCCAGATCTTTATTACATTGTTTAAAGTGCTCTAAGTGCATGCTCATACCCCATCATTAGAAGCACTTCCCTAGAGAAACCAAGATACTGGAGTTTTTGTGAGAAGGTCCTGAACCATACTGATTTGAAATTGCCTTCTATAAGGAGAAAACTCAACCCTGCAGAGGAAAAGAGTAGTTTTAACCCATGTGCAAAAATATAAATCCATGCACCAGTTTGGATTTTGGCTAGTCCTACCCTCCCTCCTTAGTACTGCATTTGGGATGCAATATGCTACCTAAAATATGGCTCTTAGGAATTTGGATTCCACCTTTTCCAGAGGAGTAAAAGAGGAGTAAGATCCCAAAGAGTAATTGTATGGGAGCCTTAGATGAATATAACTTCAGTGCTGCTGGAATATATTTTGTGCTCCTCTGGAACCCTTAATCTCCATTGAGCCTTATTTATCTGTTCCCAGGCTGAGGCTGACAATCTGATGAGATTTCTGTATAATAGAATGCAATAAAGGACCAAGTTTGAACCCTAAAATGTAGGTGTGTTGCTTGTGCCTGACAGGGCATGATAATTTTTTTTTAAAAAAAGCCATTTCTCTTATAAACTAAAAGATTGTAGAAGTTCCCTGAGAATGGCCTCCAGCACAAATCCAAAAGCTCAGAAAACTAAACCTTTGGTCCCAGTGACCGACCCAGATTGGATCCTGCAACATTTTAACCCTTTTATTCATAATTAACCTACACAAGCAGGTATTCATCGTCCAGGCCTCAAGGTCAGACTATCTCCTTTCAGGTCTAATAAATCCTTTCCTTTTCTTGCAGTTTCACAGGAATACAGCATAATTTATTTTTATTCCTTTCATTATTCATTCATGGTTTTTCTTTCCATTTTGTTCCTCTTACACCTGAAGTTGCAATCTTCCATCTACCATGTCTACCAGAAGGTCCCACCAATATTAACCTCTGCCTCATGATTTTCATCAAAAGAAATTTTACATAATTTCTTTTAAATATGTTAGTGAATAGGCTAGTTTATTAAGATTACCACAATTCCACTACAACATTCTCTGCTAATGGTAGTGCGCAGTGTCACAAGCACAACCAGTTTTTTTCTCCCAAATATGCTCACACTACTGTATGAAAGCTGAGATCGCAAGTCTGGAGAAGCCTTGCACACCAACATGTTGTTGCCTGTAATCCAATCCATTCAGATGTGAATACAGTACCTACTGACCCTACCTATATATGCATACAGCTCGTGTATCAGCACGCCTCCAATCTGTGCAAAAAACTAAACTTTTATTTTAGCCAGACAGCTCACACAGTAAATAGTCTGAGTCTTGTATTTATTTAATTCAATATCTGTGTTTTAGTTTTATCCTAACATAGAACATAAGAGTTGAAACAGCATGGTAAGTCTAAAGCCTGTTACAGAATGGTAACTAATGGAATAGAAATGGTACTTAAGGGTGCTTGCTGAAGTTTATAGCTTGTCCTACAATGCAAACATAGCTAATCATTTTGTTTAAATCTGCCTCCAGCTCCTTTCTCTCTTTTATATCTAATATTTCTTAGTAAAATAATAATATAAACAGTAAAGTTTGAGCCAAATGCGGAGTTCTTATGACCCTCTAGGCCAGGGGAGTCAAACTCAAAGCCCATGGGCCAGATGGCCCACAGTATCTCTGGCAGCTAAAGTGCGGCATTAGGAAGCTGTGCATGCCCCCCCCCTGCACCCCGTTGTTGACTCCTGCAGCACTTTACCAGCCAAAACAGGGCACAAGTGTGTGTGCACCCCTCCTTTTTTGTCTAGCAGGGTGCTCAAGGAGGTGTCTATACCTTTCCCCCCACCCGAACCGACCCGCGGAATAGATCTACAATGCTGATAAGGCCCTCAAAGAAATCCTGTTTGACATCCCTGTTCTAGGTCACTGGAAGTTGTAGTTCAGGCACTTCTGGAAAGCTACAACTTCATCATAGATTGGGGAAAAGAAGAATTCATGCTTTTAAAAATATTCAGAAACTTACTTTGGAGATAGTTCACAGTGTTATAATTTGGGAAATACCCCACAGTAAGACTTGTGGCATGATGGTTGCATAGCAAAACAGCTGTCCATTCAGAACTGAAATTCAGCCTTCCTTCTCTCAATCTGCCCTTTCCACTCTTGTGTGAAATGACTGTTCCACTTAGTTCACTACACTTTTAACTAGAATGGATGTTGACCCAGCAGAAACATTCATGCCACAAATTATATCTTGGTTAGAGCTTTTGTGACTTAGGTTAATTAGCTGAACCTAGCTGACTTGATTGTCTCAAAGGAGCTTTTTCAAAAGGCAACTGGACTATGTTTTTTTCTTGAGTAAGAAAGCATTTTGCTTTGCATCCAAGAAGCTTCATCAGTTCTGACTCTGATGAACTGATGAAGCTTCTTGGATGAGAAGTGAAAGGTCTTCTTCCTCGAGAGAAAAAAAAGCATAGTCCAGTTGCCTTTTCAAAGAAGCAGTTAAGACAACCATGACCTGGTTGACTGAGAATCTCCATAGAGTACAGCTGGCTCGATTATTCCAGTGTTTTATGCAAAGCCAGAAAAATGGTGAATTCGGTAATGGGGTTTTTGCATCTTGTGTGAATAGAGCACCGTGGTCTCTTTCCAAACCCCAAAAGCTATTTTGGCTCTAAAAGTTGCTGCCTAGATGGTGGAATGCAACCTCCTGGTTTGGAGCACCGAGCCGATTTCCCCGCCCCACTTCGAAGCCAGATCTGCTGAAAGAATTAAAGGGAACAAAGGGAGACGTTCTTTCCCCGGCTCCAGTTTGGGCGAGAGGATGCAAGCAAGCAACTTTGAAAAACTCAGGACGGGGAGGCGGGGCAGGGGAAGAACCAGGACGGGGCCCCAAAGGAGCTGGCCCAGAATCAACAAGAGACGGTGCCCGAAGGCAGGAGACCTCCGGAGAAAAATTGGATTCTCAGCTCCCCTCCCGAAACTGGCCAAGCCCAGCGTCCGCAAGAGCCTCGAAGTTTCTTGCAAAGCCAGCTGCGCCCGAGGAGAGCTTTCGAGAGAGAAGGCAAAGGGGAAACGATCGGCTTCACCTCGCCCCTTGCCCTCAGCCTTCCTTCGGCTCTCCAAGGGTCTCCCCCGGAACCAAGCGCTGGCGGAGCTCATCCGCAGGCTTTCAGGGGCAAAGTTGAGGCTGAGACGAGCCGGAGCCGGGGGTGGGGGAGAAACCCAGTGCAGCCCCAGCGCCCTTCTTTCCTCGGAAATGGAATCTTGGGAGGGGGAAACGGCAGCCCCAGGCTGGGTGGGTATGTCGGTATGTGTACAAAAAGCACAAAGCGAGGGAGCCAGCAGCTGCGGGTTAAGGAGCTTTGTGAAACTTCATGCCTACACGCAAAGTTTGGCGAGGGAGGGGGAAGAGATACATACTTTCCTCTCTCGCAGTGTTTTGTTTGAAAGTGTTTGAAAATCCGAGCAGAGAGAAGGGGTTTGGATTTCCATGCCTTTCGTTACAGAAAGAAATAAAGGAAGGAGGAAGGAGGAAGGAGGGAGGGAAGGAGGAAGGGAGGGAGGAAGGGAGGAAGAAGGGAGGGGGAGGGAGCGGGGAAAAGGGGAGGAAGGGAGGAGAAAGAAGGGAGGGAGGGAGGAAGAAGGGAGGGAGGAAGGAGGAAGAATGGGGGAGGGAGGGAGGGAGGGAGGAAAGACACTCACCTGTACTGGGGGCAGGGATGAGCTTCGAATCTCCTTGGGGGTCTCCATCGGGCAAGTCAGTGGAACGGCTCGAGAGGTCGCTTCGCACCTGGGACATCGGAAGGAGCCCTGCGAGGAGACGCCGCTGCCGCCGCCGCCGCTCGCAGAGACAGAGACAGACAGGGCGAAGTTCATTGAAGACGCTCCCTCTCCGGCCGGCCCACAAGACGCTCACCCCTGGGGATAAATGAGACGCTTCGATGGAGAAACCGCCCAGTGCCAGCCCAGGCTTCCCAAAATCTCCAGCTCCCCAGCTCGTC